TATATCAGTAAAACGTCATCCGATCTGAACCAGATTTTTTGTGCTTGATCAGTGAGCACTTCTAGACACATTGGTATTGTAGATTCATGACATCACTTAGGCCCCACCCACTTAGAGAAGAACCTGTTGATTATTGGGTGACTCTTCCAGCTTTGCACTGTGTAAGAGATAAGACTGAAACTTTGTTCGCTAACTGTTGATTAACACATGACATGTTGAAAAGCATAAAGGAAGTGCTCGTCAAATATTCACCACAAAACAGGAAGTCACCGTAACTCCTGTCTGGAAGGTCAGATTTCGTCTAAACTTATAAGACCTGCAACTGGACAAGTATTGACATGGACGGAAGGCGATGTCAAAGGTTCGGGAAATGCGCCCCGTGGTGAACGTGTGCGGGATTGGCACGAGAGCGATGGCGACTGGGTGGAGTAGCTGGAAATCCCATGGTCGCCGAATGGCTGGAGCGGCGCTTTGCTGCGAGGGCCTTCAATGCTGCTTGCAGCTTTAATTTGTTCTTACAACCCTTATTTTGGAAAAATGGGGAAATGTACAACAAAAACAAATTGATTTGTAAAGCTCACAAACCACAACAAGATCAGAAACACTTATTATTCCTGACTGTTTGAATAACAAGAAGCTTCAGTGATGATGTGTGAAATGATTCCTATTTGTTAGTAAAATGGAACAAACCTTGATCCATCATGAAACTGAGGAGTAGAATCATCCTGTCAGATGTCCAACATGGACTGAAGGTCTACAAAGACCAGACCCACTTTAAAAATGACTACCAAAACTTCTGGCGCTTCAACCGTAAATGTTTCAACAAGTTTTAAATATTTTATTGTTTTAATCAGTCCAGAGGACCTGACTTAACTTTGTTAAATAAAATAATTTTGTGATGTTTGACTTGACAACTCCTTCAGTTTCCTGTTTGAAATAAGTCTTAAAGGTTTTCAGGTGTTCAACAATTTTCAGTCAGGTCATTTGGACAGTTTCTTTTTTTGCTGAAACGTTTCACCTTCCATCCAGAAGGCTTCATCAGTCAAGGAAACACACAACAAAACTGACTCTTCCCCCAAACAGCTTACTCCAAAGTGGAACAAACCAGTTATGTTGGTGCTAAGATGGTGTCTTTGGCACGCCCCCTCCTCTGGAGTCGACCCTCTTCCTCATCGACAGTCATGTCAAACTGGTTCAAAACCAACAAAGTCCATGCTCAATAATCCAGGTATACAATCCAACCATTTTCAGTCATGCCATTTGGGAGAAGAATCAGTTTTGTGTTGTATGTTTCCTTGACTGATGAAGCCTTCTGGATGGAAGGTGAAACGTTTCAACAAAAAAAAGAAACTGTCCAAATATAATGACCTGACTGAAAATGATTGGATTGTATACCTGGATTACTGAGCATGGGCTTTTTTGGTTTTCAGTTGTTTCTCATGTGGACTCACCACGTTTTATTTAAAAATGCTGATTTTTACTTTGCTCTTTATAAAACATACAGACCATGATAACAGATCCACACAGTCCTGACACCTCACAAAACTGGATCAGATCCAAAACCCATAAAAACTACAGGTGGACGTTTCAAACTACATTCATTGAAGAAATGTCCTCATCCTGCGTTTACCAACTGAAGGACAAGGGTGGACAAACAAACGAACAAACACCCTAAAAAAACATTTTCTTCCTCAGGGTTCAGATCTTATGTGTGATTTCACAGGAAAATTATTCAAACTGAACCTTCTAAAAAACTTTAAGGATCATGTTTTGTCTCTGTGACAACATTTGTCAGGTTTGGAAGGTTTAAATGCTTCTGAAATCTCTAAAATCTCAAGTCAATGAATTTAAAAAAGATAAAAATAGACTTGGATCAAGGTGCTGCCAGAACAAACTGAACCCTTCTTTACTCAAAAAAAAAGAAGCATTTTTTAAAAACTTGTTAGTTTCGCCAAATCTAATTAAATTAGGCTTAATGTTTTGACCCCACCCCCTTCAGATACCAATGAAAGAGTTGTTTTTTTCTCAACAGTCTCGTGATGTTGGTACAGAAAACAAAACAGTGAGACGTCTGTTTTGTGGACCTCAGAGTGATGCAGAACCAAGGTCCACCTGACGTGGAGATAAGGCAACAGCAGCAACAGACACTGTCTTCTGGCGTCCTACAGAGGACATCACTCAGAGATGTCCTCACGGGTCAGATAATAAAATCTAGAATAAAAAGGCTTAAAACTCTTGACTGCTGTAGAACAATCACTCCACATCAACAGGTCCGTTAGAAAACACCTCAATGTTCTTTGTGTTTCAGTGGAACTCCACAAACTCCTCCAGGGTTTTGGGGATCTGGTTCCGGTAGGTGATCTGGTGCTGCCGGACGGCACGCGCAGCCATGCACTTCAGGCTCATCTTCATCTGCGTCTTCAGCAGGATCTCGGACACGCCGGTGGTGCTCTTGTCCAGTGGCGTTTTCTTCTGCTTGTTTGTCATGTCGGTGTGTGCGCCGGCCTCCACCAGGTTGATGATGATGGCGTGCAGCGTGAGGAAGTCGCTGATGGGTCTGTTGTACTGGACGATGACGTGCAGCGGTGTGTTGCCTTCGTGGTCCACTGCATTCACCTGGGCACCACAGTCCAGCAGCAACTTGGTCACCTGGGCATTTGGGAAGCTACAGACATCGTTGGTGTGGAAATCGTCGACAGGCGTGCTGGAGCTGATGGCCAGGTGGAGCAATGAGCAGCCTTCACGGGTCCGTGGGTCCAGCTGGATCAGGTCGTAGATGTGCTTGTTGATTCTGGCTCGGTCCTCATCACTGCAGGTAGTCTTGGTGGAGATACAAACCAAGTAGAGAAAAGTAAAAATATTGGACTCAAAGTTCTCTGTGGCCTGCAGCAGCTCAGACTCAGTTGCCACGTCGACTCGAGCCATGCTGCGCTGGATCTCCAGGACACTGCAGCTCAGGACCTGCTCTACTGCCGAGGCCAACACTGGCTCCTTCAAGTGAACCATCTGGGAGAAGACCTGGGCAAAGCGCAGCAGGTCTTTGTGTGTGTTGCGATTTCCTTTCTGCCGGAGGTGAAGGGCGTGCAGCCACAGTTTGATGCACTGCTCAAACTCCATGTTGTCGGCGTGGACAGCTCCGCGGTAAATGATGGGATGAGAGACATCGATGTTGTCCGAGCCCAGGATGCGCTCCCTGATCATCAGCCCCTCCATGTGTAGAGCATCTCGGTCCACTCGGATGACCTCCAGCTGTTGGAGGGTTTGACACTCCCTGCGCCCTCCATAGGCTTCAATAGGAGGCAGCAGCTCCTTGACAATGATGCCATCAGGGTCCCGGTGCCGCTCCGTCATGGCCATGTGCAGGTACTGATATGCCTTCTGGATGTCGTAGTTCTCCCTGTCATTGGCAAAAGAAGCTCCTAGCAGCTCCAGGGCTTCAATCTGACTGCGAGAATCACAGTCAGCGTGAGCCAGCAGCAGCTCCACTACGTCAGCCTTACAGCTCTCTGCTGCCACTTTCAGCGGGGTCATGCCATGTCCATTCACCACCATCAAGGACTGGCAGCGGATCAGCTCTTTGACGATTTCCTTATGACCCGCCTCGGCAGCAAAGTGCAGGGCCGTGGCGCCGCAATGAGCCCTGGCATTGATGTCTGCCCCCTGCTGCAGGAGGAACCGGACCACATCCACGTGGCCCTTATGGGCAGCGATCATCAGGCAGGTGTTGTTGAACTTGTTGGTGATGCTGATGTCGGCGCTGTGTTCCACCAGGTAGTGAACAATATCCAAGCGGCCATCGAAGCAGGCGGCTCGCAGGGGGGTGGAATTAGAGATGGTGGTGTGGTTGACGTTTGCGTGGTGACTCACCAGCAGGCGCACCACCTCGAAGTGTCCTGCTCCGGCTGCACACCACAGAGCTGTGGCCCCGTCAATCACATACCTGCACAAACAACAAGACACAAAACTAAACATTGTTGTTCCCAAATGTCTTCAGACACACACTGCTGAAGGAAAAATAAAACATAAAACAACAAATATCCTGATGCATGCTCAATAATCCAGGTAGAAAAATCCAAAAAAGTTCAATCTGGTCCTCTGGACATTCAAAAACCAAAAACAAAACAAAGCAAAAAAAATATAGAAACGTTTCGTCTCTCATCCGAGAGACTTCCTCAGTCTGAGGTGCTGTTTTCAGCTCAGTCTCTTAAATAGCACCGTCTCAGAGTGGATCAACCAGTTTGCTGCTGACAACCAAAATCAGCTGATCACATGCTCAAGAAGGACCATCAGCCTAACAATGGATCATTAGCACCTGATGGCTGTTTACTACTCACAGAGGGCTGAGTGATACTGGCAATCACAGCATTGTAAGAGGGGGACAGTTGAACCCGGAGGCCTCCACCCCTGTTTAATGATGGACGGTTTCTTTTCACAAAGATGGCCTCCTTTACTCCTCTCTCAAACCAACGTTCCTCTCTGTCCAGGATGTGAACATCTTCATCCCTGAAAGAGTGACCTCTGGCCTGGAGATGAGTGTAGACCGCAGAGTCCTGGCCTGATGATGTTAATCTTCTGTGCTGGGCCATCCTTTTGGCCAGTGGCTGTTTAGTTTCCCCGATGTAAGACTGATCACAGCCCTCCTGACACTGAACAGCATACACAACATTACTCTGTTTGTGCCGGGGGACTGGATCTTTGGGATGAACCAGTCTTTAATGTATTTTGGGGTTTAAAAGCCACTGGGACGTTATGTTTAGAAAATAAACGTCTCAGTTTCTCTGATACTCCCTCAACATATGGAATGACCACTGGTCTGGGTCTGGGTTCCTCCTTTTCTCCTGTTGGCTGACTGGAGTCCTGTTTGGGTTTCTTCTCTGCTTTCAGGAAGGCCCAGTTAGGATATCCACATTGCTCTAGAGCCTGTCTTGTGTGGGATTTCTCCTTCTGCCTGGCTCCTGAGCTAGTGGGGATGCTGTCTGCTCTGTGGTACAGAGTCCTGATGACTCCTAACTTGTGCTCCAAAGGGTGATGGGAGTCAAACTGCAAATACTGGTCTGTGTGGGTGGGTTTGCGGTACACCTCAGTTTGCAAATGTCCTCTATCAGAGACTGAGACCTCACAGTCCAAGAAAGCCAACCTGCCATTTTTTACATCTTCTCGTGTGAACTTGATGTATTTATCCACAGAGTTGATGTGGTCAGTAAAATGTTGGACTTCCTGAGATTTAATTTTAACCCAGGTGTCGTCAACATACCTGAACCAATGACTTGGTGGTGTCCCTGAAAAGGACATCAAGGCTCTCTTTTCTACCTCTTCCATGTACAGGTTGGCAACAATAGGAGAAACTGGAGACCCCATAGCACACCCATGTTTCTGCCTATAATATTGCTCCCGTATGTGAAGTAGGTTGACTGCAGGCACAGTTTCAAGAGTTGACACAGTTGTTCAGTGGAAAGCGTGGTCCTGCTGCTCAGAGTGGTGTCTGATTTTAATTTTAAACTGACCACCTCTACTGCATCATCAACAGGAATGCACGTAAAGAGTGATGTGACATCAAGAGACCATCGTTTCATCAGTCTCCGTGATGACATCCCTCACCTTGTCCACAAAGTCCATGGTGTTGCCTTGTCCTGCTCCAAATTTTTCAGGCAATCTATTAACTTCTTCTTGTAACCACTTCCTGGATCTCTTTTCAGAGGTTCATAAGTGGTTAAGTCACTAAGGAGTGTCATAACTTTCTCATGATAGTCTTTCTGGTTCAAAATCACTGTGCACCTTCCTTTGTCTGCTGGGAGAATGATGATGTTTTTGTCCTTGCTAAGAGTGGTGAGTGCATCCCTCTCCTCTCTACTGATGTTGGAAGGTGGAGGTTTGGCATTGCTGAGGCAGGATGAAACTTTGATTCTGAGCTGTTCTGCTTCACACTCTTTCATTTTGTTGTTTCTGTTGGCTGATTCTGTGGCTGTGATCATCTCAGAAGGCTGAAAGACTTTCTAACATTAAATGATTTTCTATCAGATTCTCAGTTTGATTTTAGGAAAATGCATAGTACCACTACAGCAGCGCTAAAAATGGTAAATTATTTTATTGATCTTTTGGATAATGAGCAACACTGTGCAGCCGTCTTTATCGATTTCTCCTAAACATTTGTTTATCATGAGGTTTTACTACAGAGTGTAGGGATTGTGGTTTGTTTCTTGGTCCCTCGTTCCATCTTGTGTTGTGTTTATGTCCTGTGTTCTTCTGAGCCTTAGTTTCTGTCTTTTATAGTGTTTATGTTCTCCTAGTGCATGCCTCCATCTGGTGTTGTGTCTCTGTTCCTGCACTCCCTGGTTTCCTAGTTTATCATTTCCCCTGATGTGTTTCAGCTTCGTGTCCTCACTGCTGTTTTGTCTCGTTAGTCACTGTATATAATCTGTGTCTCTGTGTTAGTCCTTTGTCCTGGCATTGTCTCCTGTCATCTGGTGATGTCCTGTGTACTCCCTGTGCACCCCCGGATCGTTTATGTGAGTTTTGACTGCCCAGTCATCCTTTTCTGTTTTTTATTGTACTTTGTAAATAAATCCTTTATTTAATATGCTGTATCTCCTGAGTACTGGACTGCCTGCCTGGGTTTATCTACACCAGAGCCCCCCCGTTTATGACACAGAGGCTTCACACTATTGGCTTGTCAGAACAAGCTCTTTGTTAGTTTGACAACTATCTGACCAATAGCTCTCAGTGTGTTCAAGTGGGTTTTGTGTCTTAACTCTTTTTAAACTCTTGCTTTATTTTAGCAAGTGTCCCTGTTGCTTTAAGCACGTTGTGGTTCGGACCCTTCTCAAAAAGTCTCATCACAGCCTAAAAACTTGTTTTTATAAAGTTACAACCCGTCTTAGAAAACATGGCATTTATAAAACATTTCAGTCTGGATTTAGAACTTGTCATGGTACCGAGCCAGCCCTGCTAAAAGTCCATAACAGTATCAGCATGTCCATGGATGCAAAGTGTCCTGTTGCTTTGTCACTGTGGACCTGCTGTCCTTCTGCCTTCAACATTATGTTGGTAGATTTGGTTCAGTTCTCATGTGGTTCACCTCCTACTGGACCAAAAGAACTTTCTCTGTCATAGTCTTGATCCGTCTTCCTCTACTGCTCCAATTTTGAGTGGTGTGCCGCAGGGCTCTGTTCTTGGTCCTCTCCTTTTTTCTCTGTACATACTGCCACATGTATCAGCCAAGGATGCCTAGGAGCCAGACCCCACTTTTCTTTTCAATAACATACAGATGATCTACAAATTAATTTGCCTATGAAGACTGAACGTAGAAACCTTCACACTTCTTTTAGTGACTGTATTACTGGCATTAAACGGTGGCTTCATCAAAATCTGTTTTTAAATGAAGGAAAAATGGAGTGCATCTTCTCTGGTGATTAATTGTAACTTTGGTGGTCTAAAATCCAAGTTTAGACCGACAGTTAAAATCTTGAAGGTGAATTTTGACAAGGGTTTAAAGTTCAACATACAGGTCTTTCTCAAAAAAATAGCATATTGTGATAAAGGTCATTATTTTCCATAATGTAATGATAAAAATGAAACTTTCATATATTTCAGATTCATTGCACACCAACTGAAATATTTCAGGTCTTTAATTGTTTTAATACTGATGGTTATGGCATACAGCTCATGAAAACCCAAAATGCCTGTCCCAAAAAATGAGCATATCATGAAAAGGTTCTCTAAACAACTATTAACCTAACCATCTGAATCAACGACGCAACTCTAAACACCTGCAAAAGATTCCTGAGGCTTTTAAAAACTCCCAGCCTTGTTCATTACTCAAAACCACAATCATGGGTAAGACTGCCGACCTGACTGCTGTCCAGAAGGCCATCATTGACACCCTCAAGCAAGAGGGTAAGACACAGAAAGAA